AGCTAAAAAGGCTGTAATATGCCTGCCGCCTGTTCCCTAGGGTATAGTTTCTGTCCACCAGAACATAGACCTGGTTCAGGTCGCTATCTTTTGTTCCTCTATTGTATATTTATTAATGCCTGTTAATTTTTTTTTTCATTGTTCACTTTCACTTTTAAGGTGTTCTGATTTGGGGAAAGAAAAACACATTGTCACTCCAGCTAAAGGAATACAGAGACTAGTATCAACTCTCAGGTTACTTAAAATCAGGTTTTGAGATTGAGACATACATATAATATGTTCACAGTTTAAGTAAAATTATAATGTGAGTTAACAATAAATGCTTAATTACAGAAATGTCACAGAACAGTCCATGATTAATTACCAAACGAGTGAGATAGACAATAATAGTTTTAAATTTAGGAGGCAAATGAACTCAGCCTTAAGGTTAGCTTTTTGAGATTAGAATATTGAAAGATTCCCCTAAGCCATTTCCTTAGAGTCTGTTTGCTGGTTTCCAGAACTGTTTTGGCATGTTTGAGTCATAATTTTATGTCCTCTATATTTTAAGCCAAATGCCATTGTGAATTTATATCATTTATCCAATTATCATCTTTAGGGAAATCGTTGTTACTGCTCAATAGAAATAAAGATACATACTTCATGTTGCTATCTCTTGAATCAAGGGAAAAAAGGGGAGCATGTTTTGTCTTTAAAAATGCCAGACATGTTACCCTTCTGTCACCTTCTGAATATATATCTCAAGCCATTCCTAACCATTTAATTACCGCAGTTGAGACATAACACATTAAATGTAGCATTTTTCTTATTTGAGGCAGTTTCTATACTTTAGTTAAAATAGCCTCCTTAGTGCTGAATGGTAAGCATCTTTATGGACATCCTCTGTCATATCCTTGTGGTGGACTGGGTCTGAAACAGTTGATTTAACATTTCCAAATGTCTTCAGTAGGTATGTATGTTGGTAGTTCCAAATAATTTATATTAAGAATTAAAGTTGTATCTCTTTTAAATATGAAGAATAAATTGATGATATATGTAAAATAAATCTGTCAAATATATATTTTAGGTTGAAAACACAAAACTATGGACAGCAATTACATATGTATTTAATTTGAAAGTTTCTAGAAGAACCCTTGTGAGTAGCAGTCTCATTTATTTGCTAGCTCAGCTCGATGACCATTGAGGCACTTAATTATATATATAATACTAGAATGTATTTTTTTGTTTCTTTGTTTTTTTAAGAATTTGATTCTTATCTGTAAAGAAACTTTTAAATGTTATTAAGCCTAAATTTTTTGTGTGAGTGAAGAATTCTCAATGTGTGAGTCATACTTGTCAAAGTCAAGAATACAGAAACACAGTGTTGCCTCAGAGATCTTCTGGGTCATGGGCTCTATTCTGTACTTTAGTTGGCCCTTTTTTTCAGTGCTTCCAGTAATGACATTGTGGATGACATCTGCAGGTCACTTAATCTCCTTTTCTGCTTCTCCAATTCAGTGGATTACTGTCATTTGCTATTTACCGAATTTATAGGATAGTAGAAATTAAGGTAGTAAATCCAAACTTATGAGAATCTCCTTTAAGCATTAGAGTTCCTTGTAATTCTCTGTGATCACAATGAAATGAAATTACACTAGCTCCAAAATATCACCTTTCTTCACATGAAACTGAATTAGAACAGTAATGCAAATCCTTCCAGATTACTCATTTAAAAAATCAGGAGGTAGGAATTGATCTGTAATCATGTAAAATAGTTACTGCTCTCTCTCAAATCAAATTTATTACTTACTTTGGAAGGCATGCACATTTTGCACTTCTTGAACCACCTCAAAATATATGGAGGAAAAAATTAGGTTGACTCCTTCTTAGAGAGCTCTGGTTATAGCCCATGGCTGATTATATCTCATGACCGATTGATAAAAGAATAAACAAAGGTAGAACATTAAGGGTATTGATAAAGTTAAGTATAAGAGGAAGTTAGGAACCTTAATTTTTTTAAAAAATTTTGAACCAATTAGAAGATCTGTAATGACTCAAGCAAACAGTTGATTTTCTATCCAGTAATCATTTTTTCCTTTCATCCATGCTTCAGAAAAGGAGTGCTTATCTCAAAAATCCAGATAGCAAATATTTTAGGTTTTATGGATCAAGAAACAAAGTCAAAGATTCTTTGTAGGTACTTATATAACTATTTAAAATGTAATCATTAAAAAATGTGAACACCATTCTTAGCTTTCAGGTAGTACAAAAGTCAGCTGGTTGGAACTGACTTATGGATCATAGCTTGCCAACTCCTATAGAACTCTTTTGTACAGGTATGTGAGCTTCAGGGAAGGCTGGGTCTGAAACAATTCTGGTAATCTCATTCTCCTTACTCATGACTGGTACAGGTATGGATGGGTTCAGGAAACATTTCCGATCCCAGCCATAAGGAGAAGTCTGCTGGGAAAGGTATCTTCTCTTTTAAAATAGATGTATAAAAATACTTCCTTTTTGGTGTTGGATGAGATTGCATGGAATTGAGGCATGGAGAAGCCACACTCATCTTTTGACCACAAAGAGGGACAAGCCTTGAGTCCTAAGGAATCTGAGAAATATATGACATTCACTTCTAATGAGCGATAATTCTTCCTCACAAAAACCCTTATAGAATGTCTAATATTTACCCTGTCATCCATTTGTTGTTCTTTCTCAGTGGATTGTACAGAGTATCACCAAATTATTCTAGTTTTGTTATTCTACTTCTTTCCACAGAATGAGTGCTTCTATTATATTACTCGCTGATACCTTTCAGTGACTTCTTGTAGTGCTTCAGCTTTGTTATCTGATAAAGCGTTCTATAATCTTTCGTTGCTATGATACCATTTAGAGTTTGAGAGAACTACAGCGTTCTTTCATAATAAAAATTATATACATTTACTAAGAATTTTGTGTTATACCAATGTCTTGTACTTTAAGATTTTGGCTTTCTGAAATATTAGAATATAATACTATCTATAGAAATGAGAAAAATACCATATATATTTATATGTAAATATATAATATATAAATATACATATAAATATATATGTAAATATAAGGATGGGGACATAAAGCTTCAGTATATGATCAAGATTTAGTTTCCTAGGAAATTCAATCAGTCCTCATCAAATGATTGCAATTTTATTTTTTAGCCAAAAAGTTCCTTTTACAAATTAATTCCAGTAACCATTTATAGATTCTTCTTCTTTTTTTTTTTTAATTCAGGAAACAGTTTTGGAGCCCCAGCTATGTCCTAGACATTGTTTATTTCTTGAGGAGGGTTCAGAGAAAGCTAAATTTAAGATTGTCATAGTCATTGCTTTTAAATAGCTTCCAATTTACAAATAGCATCTAACACAGACCCTAATATTAGTAAGTGCTTAATAAATGTTAGTTACATCCCTTTCTTTTGAGATTTCTTTGGTGATAACTTCGTTCCAATTTTGACAGGTAAATACAAGGGAAAGAAAAGTAGAGAGAATAGCACAGTAGACAAATGAGAATGCAGAGCACACAGAGGAGTTGCATTCAGGACCACTCCTTCCAAAACAGAGAGAGAGAAGAACAAGAAATAATAATTTAAATAATTTTAGTGAGTGGTGATTTTTGCCCAATATTTCACTCCACGAGTGCTTGAGCCAAAGTGAGTGAAAGATAGAAGAGAATCTTCTGTTTTCTATATTGTACTCAGTTCCACAATATATATTTGTAGGGAGAACCTCTTCTGACGTATGTATATTTTTAATGTTTAAAGGTACATAGTGCACTTTATCAGCTGTTAGTCCATCTGCTAAGACACCTGAGGTAAGTTTCTCAGTAAATCCAACTGGCTAGTGTTGGATTTACTGAGAAACTTTACGGCTGTCTCTACCATTGCATTTTAAGGTGTTTACAAGGATAATCTTAACCAAAGGCAATGATTTTGGAAACTCATACCTTCATACCTTCATGAAGTGGGACTCTGTGTAATCTAATAAAGCTGGAGCACAGCAGCCCTATCAGATTGTAATGAAAAAATATAATAGGAAGGTGCTGTAAAAGTAATTTTTATGTAATCTTAAATGATATGGTAAGGGATTTATTCAGGTTTATTTGAAGGCATTGAAGAGTCACTAAATTTGAGCTGAGGAATAACTTGGTCTGAGCTGTATTTTAAAGTAGTAATTTTCAAACCATGTTCCCACTATTTAACAAGCTGCATTGAGGATTTCTATCCCTATGACTGGAATCATTTAGTGGGTTACTTATCTAATTTCCAGAAGAATGTTAATGATTAGAATATTCTCAGTTTTACGTTTTTCTCCTGTGGTGAAGAAATAACAAAGAACCGTTCATAGAAAAATTCAAGTTTAGCTTAGCAGTTTGTGTTTTCCGTCAGTACATGCTAATGGCTTTGCTTTTATGCTCTCTGTGTATAAACAGTCATTTTTCTGATGGCAAAGATGATATAATTAAATACATTGGTATTTCATGGTGAATTTTGTGAAACACCATTAACAATTAAGATGAACTCTTGCCTAAAGAAGTGTAACAGCCTTGCTGGCAGCAATAAAAGACTGGAGACAGGGAGATCAATTGTCTTAAATCCTTTTTTTTTTTATCTTGCACTTGGTGAGTGTGCACAAATGTTTTGAATAACCGACCAGCATATTTGAGAATTTATTATGTACCATTCACAGGAATTTTCTAGAGGACCTAGAAGACCTATATAATAGTCTGTATTCTCCATAACCTTAGTTTTACTTGGTAAACAAAAACTAACCCAGTGTTAATAATTTATAAGATAGTGCTGAATTGACATAGGTGTTCAAAAAGGAATTATCAAGTCTTCAGGTAATCAAGGAAAGCTTCTTAGAAGAGGGGGGACTTGCACTGGATCTCATAATCCGAAAAGGCAGAAAGAAAGGCTTCTCTGAAAGAAGCAGTATGTACAATGAACATGGACTTCAGTCTGACTGGAGTAGAAGGTATTTGCTGGGGCAGCCTGGAAAACAAGTTAGAACCAGTTAGGTTTGATCAAATTATGAAAATGTTACCAAAGTGTATTATTGTCTTAAGAGTCTTAAAACTAGCTCAGTTATTATTCAGAGTTTGAAAAATGGAACATTTCAATATTCAAATCTTTTTTTTTTTGGTTAAATATGTTTGTAATTAGGGCATTTTATTATAATTATTTACAAAAATTAGAAAAATATAATGAACTACTTTGTCTTTGCTTACATATTCTGTTGTCTTTATATTTTGAGAACAAATTCGGTAAAACCCATTAATTCAAAAGTGTTTAATGTACATCTTTGATGTGATAGTCAGTGGATGTCAGACAAAGTCCTGGCTCTCAGAAACCTTACATTCTAGTTTTCGAGGAGAGTGGCAGAGGGTGGAGGAGGGACAGGAAGACAGTCATTCAGGGAAGGCATAGGTGTGTTGTAATTTTCAATAGAGTGGTCAGAGAAGGGTAACTTAAGAAGGTAATATTTCTTCAGAACCAGTGAGCAAAACAATAATGAATAATCTGTGGCATTTTTCAAAAAGTTTTGACAGTTTTTCTCATTAGAATTTATTTGCTTGAGAATAAAAGGAGATAAAATAGATGCTCAATTTTATGTGCCTACCCAATGATTTTTCAGATGAATGCACTGGACACTCTTGGTCAGACTGCTTTGCATAGAGCTGCCCTAGCAGGTCACCTGCAGACCTGCCGCCTCCTGCTAACTTATGGCTCTGATCCCTCCATCATCTCCTTACAAGGCTTTACAGCGGCGCAGATGGGAAATGAAGCAGTGCAGCAGATTCTGAGTGGTAAGTCGGAATACGTAACCATTGCAGTCTATTCTTTCTCTTCCGTGTCCCTGATAAACCCAGATAAACTTTGTACTTCTTGTTTTAAGTAGCTCTTTGGAATTTTTTTGTTGTTGTTTGACTATTTTTCCTGCCTTTCCTTGCTTGTAGTTTAGCCTGCGGCCCTGTCCATCCGTAGATATCATGAGAAGGAAGCAAATATCCTCTTTAATTTTTTTAGTTTTAAATTCAAAACCTGACTCATGTGTTATGATCATAGGTTAATTAAAACTCATATAAACAGTGTAAAATTATGGTAGCTCTAAAATCTATCAAATAGAGAAAATTACCAATCATTCATATGGTAATGATCTTTAATTAATTGTTCTTCCATGTGTTATATTCTGACCTGTGTTTTTTAATTCGTGACTTCATTGCACTTTTCTGAAATTATCTTGTCTTTTCCTGGTTTAAATATAATTATGAAATTTGGCTAAGTGGTACAGTGTTAGCCACTTTACTTAGTTTATTGAGGAAGATCAAACATAAAACTGATACAAAAATAGACACTAGTTTCTAAAGCCCCAAAATTAGATGAAATAACACAGTTCACTTGCTGAAAAATGATTAACTTGATACAAAAGAATTTTAATTTAATTGGCTCTTCTTTCTCATTTCTTTAATATTACCTGTGGATTATATCTGCTCCAGAATGACATAAAAAACTGGAAGAGTAAAATGAAGAAGGCAACAGATGAGGAATCAGAAGTCCTAGTTCTTTTTCTTACCTATAATCCAGTGGTTCTTTACTCCATCAGGCACAGAGCCCCTTTTGATAATGAATATTTTATAACATCCCCTTTACTATCTAGAAATGAATTAATAACTGATTTGATCTAATTATACATATACCTTCCAAATATATATATAGTAAATGTCCTAACTATAATATAAAGGGAAAAATGACAGTACGTTACAATAAAATAATTTATAATTATTATAATAGTAATCGCTTGGACATGACTACACTAAAAGACAAAAATTGACCCTATAAATTTCTGAATGGCCTCCGAAAAGTACAACCCAATTGAGAATCACTATTAGACACTGAAGTAGAGGACCTTTCCAGACTTACGGAGATCATGATTTATGTTTTTAGAGCTGAATCAGAGTTAACCAGCCTCATAAGAGTAACACTGTGCCACATTGTGAAAGCTATTATTAGGATTTATTTTCCTCATGCTAGTTCCCTCTTATCCTGATCATTCTACTTCAGTCTTATATGGTGGTCTTAAGACAGTTGAAGTAAGACCTGTCTAGGGCATCTTCACTATCAAAACAAATAAGATCTAGCTAAAGGAATGAAATTTCCTATTATTGAATTTCAAGCCTGAACTATCAAAAACAGGACTTCAATTAACTTTCTGTTTCTACAAAGCAATAGTACATTTGCTTAAAGAAGATAAGCTTTCTTTGACTGAGAAATATTTCTGCCTTCTCAGTAAATTCTTATAATTTCTAAAAGGTGTGATTTTTTGTTAAAACATTCTAAATTTTTCTCTTAAACTTTTTACTAAGAACGATTTAGTACTGAATTTTAAGTTAGTTTCTATAAGTTGTAACCATAAATCAAGCAAACATATAGCTGTTACATCAAAATTTTTAACAAGACTATACATAATTATTAGAGATAATTTATGAAATGGGCAGAGGAAAGAATTGAATAAATTGAGCAGATTAGATTCATTAATGCTTGTATAGTGTCTTCTAAATGAATGCGGTTAGAATATATGACTCCTGGTAAAAGATAAATACTGTCTCACATGTGAAATAATTTTTTAAATTTATTTATTTAAATTAGTTTCAAGTATAGAATGCATTGGTTAGACATCTATATAGTTCATAAAACGATCCCCCCAATTGCTTCCTCCCTCCCATTGCCCTCCACCTAGCCCCTCATATTCATGCTGACACTATTCCCTCTGCTGTGCTCCCCATCCCCGTGACCAACTATCAACTACTAATTTGTACTTCTTAACCCTTCACCCCATTCTCCCAGCCCCACAACCCCCTCTCCCCTCTGTTTGTCACCAAATTGTCCACTATATGTTAGTCTGTTTTTGATTAGTTTTTTTCTTTTTGTTGCTTAGATTCCATATATAAGCAAAATCATATGGTATTTATTTTGCTCTGTCTGACTTATTTCACTCAGCATAATAACCTCTAGGTCCATCCATGTTGTTGTAAATGGTAGGATTCCGTTTTGTTTTTTTTTTTTAATGGCTAAGTAATATTCCATTGTATATATGAACCATAATTTCTTTATCTAGTCGTCTGTTGATGGGCCCTTA